TGGCTGGGGCAGGGGGCACACAGGGGCAGCAGACTCGGCCGCAGTGCCGACGCGTCGTCGTCCCTCGGGGACCACAGTGTCGCCCAGCGAGCGACTGAGGATGCTTCACGAGCCGCATGACTTGGGGCAACAGTTTGCCCTAGAGCCACAGAGAAAGCTGTTACTTGTTACCCAAAAACCTGCTTCCCCCTGTGCTCCTGAGAAGGGTTTACAGCCCATGTCAGCCTGTTCTCCTCTTGGAAACTCAGCTTCTTTCTCTGAACTCAGCGGCCTTGGGCGATTCCTGAGAACTAGCTGCCATGCTGCTGCTGGTCACAACACCAGTGTCTTGGAGCTCCTGCTGGTGACACGCTTGCCAATGGGTAGGATTCCAATCCTGTTTAGACTGAGAGCTCCTCTTCAGGCACTGTCATGGTCTCTAAACATTGGGAGCACTCTTCTAAATGCTGAACACGAGTGGAAGGGTTGAGAAGGAGACCCACACCAAGAACAGGGCTGCAATGTTTATTTGTGTAAGCTACCCAAATGTAAATATGCCTCTTGAGCTACCAGTTTATGTTTGGGCCGCCTCCAGTCCATAGAACAGCTAAAAATTTGGGAAGCTTAAAAGTTGCCTGAAGCTACTTCTTTTACCCTTTATTATGGATAATCTTTTGTTTTGTGGTACCTGAAGTGTGACCCTACTAGTGCCTGTCACAAAGAGAGGCACGCTCAGGAGGGCCTGGGGGTTCCAGTGAAGGCAGGGTGTGCTGGCAGAATCTGTCCTGAGTGACACTATCTTGCTTGACATGAATCTTTGAGAAGGAAAATGGGGTCTGAAGTGACTCCAAGCCTGTTGATAACATGTTCAGCAATCTGAACAGGGTTTCCCCTTCTGGTTTAGCCTTTTGGAAAACAGACAACGTCTAAGTTTGCAGCATGTGTACAGTGTCCACAATGATTTAATACAGTTAGTTAGAAACCTTGAAAATCACAGTTTACAATGGGAACTCTGACAGGCCATCGAGTTCAGTGTTACTTATAAGCATTCCTATAATTAAGTTGTCAACAAAACCCTAAATATGGTACCGTAACAGTCTCCATTTTCACACTAATATGCAGAGGGAGCTCCCACTAAAGGTGGCAGTAATTAGGTACTCAAAACCCATGGAAAACTAGAAAAATATACAGTGAAAACGTTCAAAGACAATAGACAGAACCAATATTCTTTTCATTTCATCAAGCACAAAAATGCTGCAGGACATGCTGTGCATTTACAAACTGCAATCAGAGCAAAGGAGTGAGTAGGGCAGAAGGGAAAAATGAGTTGAGCTATTGATACTTGGCTATTTTGGAAAAATGTGTTGGCAGTTAAATGCTGTACATGCTGAGCAAAAAATTCTGTGAAGCATTTTTCTTTTAACATGAAAATACCACAATGACACAGCCAGAAGATGAAAATTCCACATGCTGAAATTCAAATACCTTTATCCTCTGATCTATTCTAAGTTATTGACTCCAATCCTAATGAGTATGCAAATTAAGTATCTAAAAACTATTCTGTGAGTCTTAAAAGGAAAACTTTGTGTTGAATTCTCTGCTTTGGTGTAAATCCAGGAAATGCATGGGATTTCCCAATTTCTACTGTAGAATAATTCAAGAGATTAATTCCACTATGGTTTTGATAGGTGGAAGTTTGAGTCTGAAGGTACAAGTCACTAAATCCCAGAGTCTTCCCAGCTATGACTCTGGGATTAACCTTAACTCTGATCATGGTACCTGTCATTAATAAAGAGCAATTTAAGAAAAAGAGGCTGGTTTCTGACCTACAGTCAGCAGTTCCCTGCTTGCATGTATTCCTTTTTGTAAATCTAGTAGTTTTTCATGGGCTGTTTGATAGTATTTTACGTGCACATTCATTTTTGCAGGTACTGAGGAAGAGTATGGACAGCCAGGCTACTAATTGTGTTACACAGGAATATGTGTGTCCTGGATAGGTTGCCAGGAGCATTGTAGTTCAGGCTGCAGACAGGAGGGATCTGTCAGCCCAGTGCCACTTCATGCCCTCCAAAAGTGGATACAGCTTAATAGGTCCTTGTGGAGCTCTGTAATTTCAATGACCACAGCAGCATCAGGTCTGGACAGCAGAGCCAGAACCCACTGAAACCAACGATGAGGCTCTAGTGAGTGTCAGACCTAGTCCAGGGAGGATATTTCTACCCAAATTAGTCAAGGGTAGGTGATGAAAGTCATGTGGACCCGTGGAGCTAAAAGGACTCTTTGCCCATGCCTGTCTGTGCACATCCAATGCAAACCAGGTGGTTTGGATGTATAAACTGCCAAATGGCATTAACAGGTCCAGTTTCTCTACCTTCTCTTTTCCACTACTTCTCTTTCTTTAAAAGGAAATGGTTTAAATGAGGGCAAACATTAACCGAATGTAATTTGTATCTCAGTCTATTTTTAAGCATTCTGTCCTGAAAAGCTTTTGAACAATATTTTGCTTTTGTCTCCCATACACAGAGATATAATTTAATTACTGTGTAAAGTTTTGCTAAACATTGCTATTAAATATGACTTTTAGTATTCGCATGGAATGGGAAACTGCTCAGAGAAAAGTTAACCTGTGAGTGATTCAAGTACTTTGATTTCTGTGCTTGGACTGGTGTCTGATTGGATTTTCTCCTGCTGTTTGTTTCCTAGTGGAATGGAGCTCTTCAGAAGACTTCTTTCCTCTGGCTGGTGAAATAATTATGGATAATCTGCAGTCTTTGAGGTGCTCCATCACGGGTCTCCAAACGGTAAGTGCCCAAGGACTCACCTAGATCTTGAGGGTCTTCCCACTGAATCCACAGGCCTACAGAGTTTGGGTAGGGAGAGGTGTGCATGTGGCCCTTGGCCAATGTCCCAAAACACAGACTCTCAAAATGAGAAAATTAAATTAATGAGCAAGCAATGGGCACTATATAAAACAAGAAAAGATATGAAAAGAAAAGAAAAGAAAAGAAAAGAAAAGAAAAGAAAAGAAAAGAAAAGAAAAGAAAAGAAAAGAAAAGAAAAGAAAAGAAAAGAAAAGAAAAGAAAAGAAAAGAAAAGAAAAGACAAGACTTTTCTGGGTTTTTTTCTATCCTTTTATCTAAAGAAATCTGTGATTTGAAGCACAATCCTCCAGGAAGCTGAGCCACAATATGCATTTACTCTGATATTACAGCCCAGATTTTGAATCAAGTGATAGCTTTGACTCCAGTTGTTTCCATTTGCAGGGCCAGAGGTATTATGTCCATGTTTCAGCATACAACATGAGAGGATGGGGACCTCCACGCAAATCCACTCCTGAATATGCTTCTCCTTCAAGTAGGTTGAGTTTTTCTGCCCTCCTAATTTGATTAATGATGTTGCTTTGTAAGGACTTATTCTTCTTCAAAGAACAGAAAAAGACAAGTATCCTAGAGTTCATGATGTTATGACCCCTAGGAGTGAAATAAATAAATACAACTCAACTCCTTCCACCCCACCAAAAATAAAGAAAATAATCGTGTGTGTAAATATATATATATATTTGTCTTACCTTTTATTCTTCTCCAGTCCTTTGACAGAACATTGTCATCTAGTCATTAGCACTTAACAAAATGAGAAGTATTTTGACCTTTATTTCTCTTAACAGAGGTCTGATATATGGAACTTCATTTTTCAGTACATGAATGGATCAAAACCTGAATCTGAAGTGCTAGAAGGAAAACACTTACATGTATCTTGTACAATTTTGTATTTGGCCTTGCGCCATTACAGGTCCCATTCACTGGACCACTTACAGCATCCTGTATATAAAATACTCCAGTGTGGACACATATGTTGATAGGATCTCACCCAGAAGCACTAAAATGTTCAGAAATGTCCAAAAGCCTTTCTTCCTTTTCTAGCCTCTGACAGGTTTTCTGACTCCATCAGGACTACAATTTTTCATTTGTAATTTTAATCTATTATAATCACATTGTATTGTTAGTTGCTTTTCCAGCCTTAATGTTCTCTGCCAGACTGGCTTAGTGTATTACAGTTTCCCTTGTATTGATTAATGCAGTAAAGTGGGACTTTTCATTTTATTGCATTAACACTTGTTTTTATTAGGCTAACGTAGCAATTTAATAACCTTGCATGCTAATGTGAGAAAATACAGCAAGCTGTACCTACTCTCAGTAGTCTTAATGAAGAGGGTTGGATAAATAAGGCTCTTGCAGTGCCATTGTCCCATTTTGCTTCAATTTTGCTCGTTTGCTACACAATAATACCAGAACAAGGCAAAAGATATATTTTGCTTGGGAACAAAAATATGCTACAATCAGGGGACAAAAATCTACTCTTGGCTATGTAGATAAGTGAATAACGTAGTGACTTGCAATCACCTTGACTATACCCAGGTATAACTACACAGGACTTGGCCCCACAAACCAAAAAATTACATCAGCTGGGGCACAAACTCTTTTACAGTAGCTGCTAGGTATTCAGCTAAATATCCTCCAAAAAGGGGCACTTTCTGGCAAGACAGGTGTCTTTGGAGACTGTAGCTTTGGATGATATGAATTCTGCTTTGAATATATTGCCCTGTCTTCCCAGACAGAAGCATTAAGCAGACTCAGCTCACTGTACAGAGATAGCTGGCAAGAATGTGGTATTTTCATTAAATAACCTTAGTTACACATGCTTTTAAAGTTTACAGCAAGTGAGACCAGCAGAGCCTAAATGAAATTCTTTCATTAAGTAACACTAACATCAGAGAGACAAGATGTTATTTACCCTTGTGGTTACTGGGGGCAGAACTTCTTTATCCATGTAGCTGCCTTCACCACTGCTTTTGAAAACTAACACATTTGTGCTTGGCAAGAAGGCAACAATCTGACATTACACCAGTGTTGCATAACAAAATATGGCCCTAAGCTCAAATTTAAATATGAATACATTAATATTCTGTGAAGTTGTCTGTAACAGCAGCCAGATGAATATGCAAGGGAAATGAAAGCTTCAGGGCCTCGTGCTGATCCATTCCAATGCCAGAGCATCAAAGGCTAGTGACAGCCTTGGAGATGTGTCTGTGCATCATGACAGTGAATGTTTGCCACTGTCCTCCTGTTTCACACACACAAAATAGCAGCCTGGAAAGTGGTGGCCAGTGTTGTGCAGCTGCTCTGTCAAATCATAGCAAACAGTAACATCTCTAGGCTTATTCATTAGCAGGTGAGTGATGGACAGTGAGGGAAGCTGGTCTGATTCCCCTGTCATTTGTAAGGGAGTCAGCAATCTGGAGGCTCACAAAGTCTGGGAAGCAGTGGGATAGAGAAATCATAAGGCTCTTTCAAATTCTGCCAGTTTGATGACACCGAAGTACTTTGAGCTGGCAAGTTCCAGTTGGTCTCTCCTGGCTGCACCCAGGAGATCTAAGGACTGGGCTCCCTACAAGAGCAACAACTGCAGCTGGCCTGGATCCCTGCAGCAGCACACGGCAGGCAGCACAGCCTCCCTGCAGCTGTCACACTGCCCACCAGGACACCGAGAGTCTTCTCTGTCCAGCCTTTCATGGGGCTTGCTCTAGCTGCTACACTAAATGTAAATAAATAGGTATTTATATCCCTGGCATAGTGAGCCATCGGAAGGAATGCTCGACTCCAAACTTGCTCTAGAAACTGGATCTGTATATTTAGTTAGTGAGCAAACTGTTGGTGGCCGTGAATGTGTACGTGGCCTCTATGCCAGTGAGATGGAAGCATGTCTCCTGTGCAGACAGATCTCTTAATAACTTGATCCACCATTACTTTGAGTCAGGAAATGGATGCAATACTTTTTTCTCATTATAATCACAGTATGAAAAAAGCCAAGTCTGGAATGAAAAAGCTCCTCACTGACACACACAATTTCTTCTTCCTATTTGTGCTGAGTTTGGTTTATAAAGCCAAGATTGAGATTGTCACTAGCAGCCAAGAGTGCAAGCAGAGCCTGGAGGTAGGTGGGGCAGAAGCTGCTGTGCCTCGGGCGTGCAGCGCTGAGCGGCTCGGGGACTCCAGGGCTGCAGTGCCAGTGTTTCTTCAGGCCTCTGCTGGCAGCAGAGCTCTGGAAGTGATTTGAACTTGGAGCATCCTTGCCTGGCTGCAGAGTGAGCTCTGGGTGTGGGAAGATGTTCCCTCTCTGCTTTGCAGCTCCCTGCAGAGCTGGGGACGAGCGACTGAGCGTGCGGTGAGAGGCAGAAGGAGCAGAGCTGAGAGAGCCCAGTCGTGTACTGAACATACCTGTTGGCTAGCCAGTCACTAGGAGCTCCTCAGAGCTGGTTGTGAGCTCTTTGTTAATAATCATTATGGTTAATTACTGCGCTGGCACGAGGCAAAGAAAACTCAGTGTACAAGTAGCAACGGCAGACTTAAAAACAACTGCCCTTGCGAGCAGAGATGTAAAATTCCTCTAAAGCCAAGAAGTACCAGAGGCGAGAAAGTATTTTAACACCTTCTCCTGCGCCTTTGTGTTTCATTTCTGTTTATTTCCTTTGTCCAATAGACTGGAAAGACTGCAGTGGGAGAGAGCCTCGGCACCGGGGACACACCGAGGCCCTGGAACGCCTCCTTCAGCAGGTTCGAGCAGCTCTGCAGCTCTGCAGCTGCAGAGGTAAGGAGAACTCTCTGTGTGGGAGGGCACCAGCTGAAGCCTCTGTGGCGCCTGTCATTTTAGCAGTTTTCTAACTAGGTCATACCTTCTCGTTCATCCGGACAAGAACGATATTAATATTGGCCCATCTGGAATCACTTTAGCACGCTATCTTGCTCTTAACCCTTCAAATTAGTTGGATGAAAACATCTGAAAGCTAGAAAGTTCACACACACAGATGCACCCTTTCTCCTGCACCCTACACACCCATTGATTTGTTTTCCCCTACAAATTACTTTCACACAGGATTCCATTAGAATGTTTCGAGGATGTCTCTTTTATATTTTTCATACAGAGAAATACTTTAGAGAGTTAACAACTGTTTTGGATCAAAAGAAGGGACTTGGCTGCCTCCAAATGGAAGACACTAAGTACTTCAGTGGATGTCATGCCAATCTATAATGAAAACTGCTTGCACAATGCAGTGGGAAGATAAGATTGCTACATTTCAAAATAGAATGGATCAAAACTAGGAGAGAGTTCCGATCTCAGCCAATCTTCATTCATGAGAAACAGACTGTGCCTTTAATAGCTCAAGAGCCAAGGCAACAGCTTGGCATTCTTTTAAAAGCATATATAAAAACTCCTGTTCTATATGGGTTGTTGAAAAGTACTATTTATTTTCTTAAAATAAACCTCTAAATGGAATAATGCTTCATTGCAGAGGGACTCATTTCAAACTGAAAAGTTAAACTACCGTGAAGTTTTCATTTTTCTTCACCTACTATGACTCTTATGTCAAGCTGCATCAATTGATTTAAAATCGTAGAAATACTTAGAGCTAAAATCATCTGGCTGAAATGCAAAAATGCAGCTTTTGTTCTTTATGTGCAAATATGTCACCGTCCCAGTGATCCACAGTCTGCCACAACCCATTGTAACCATAGCAACTTCAATCTTTGGCTGTGGTGCTTGGAAAGGGAAAGGAGATACTGCAAGAAAATGCTGCTTCTCTAATTAAAATTCAGGCAAGCATTATCACTTGCAGGTGATCTTGGTGCTGACTATACAGATGATGTGTTCTATCTCTTACACAGCTTCTTTGTGCTATTAAGAGAAATGTTTTTTCTATGAAACAGTTTTTCCTTTCCAGAGTCAGTGCCTATCTTGGGTCTTTCAGGCCACCTTCAAGTCAACAGGGAGTAAGTGATGGAACATCTGAAAATATTCTCAGTATAAATTGTTTTACTGACATACCAGCTCAGAACAGAAGCAGTTATAAACAACATGCAGAAAATCCCTCCTTTTGAGAACTTGACACCAGTGCCTGGTTCTTACAAAATTCTACTGCTCCAGAAATTAACCCCAGTCTCAGAGTGGAGCACAGACAACTCCGTTGTTGATTCCCAAACTCCTTTTTCTTAAATAATAAATAACAACAATACAGAAAATCTGTTTAGCTCCTAACATTTTCTTCCATGCCTGAAAGGCTGTGGGAGCTCACGTGGGGCAGCACCACACTGTGGAGTCAGCTTGAGTAACACACTTTCCTCTAACCAAATAAAAATCTCATAATTGCTTGTAATGCTAACATTACACAGCAGTATCTTTTGGATAAATCAGGATGGCAATATCATAGGAGAACCTCTGGAAATTGCCTTAAATATATGACAGATGTCAACCCCTTGTATTTCAGTAATTTGGTAAAGAATGAAGACAAAGAGTTTGCAGAAAAAGGAAGAATTATGACATCACTTTGACTCTGAAAGTTGATTCTGGTATTTATCAACCTCGTGGAATCTGAGGAGTTTGATCAAGGATCTGAGATACACTGCCATATGTGACTGAAGAGCACAAATAATGCCTTTTTCTTCATGTAATACAAAGGCCTGAGCTAGGTTCTTAGTTAATGTAAATTAGCATGCTTTGGCTGACCTGGCTAGAAGTCAGCATGGCCATGCTGTCATACACAGACTGAGGACCTGCCCAGGCATTTATCTGCTCTTCATTATGTTTCCCTTTCCAGACTCTGGTTAGATGTCAGTATTATAATCTCTGTGTGCCTCATTTCTTCTAGAGCTGTCAGTAAACAGCTGAACATTGTTTGAGGAGTATCCTTGAATCTGCCTACAACCACTGGGGTTAATAAATGGGAGCAGAGTCAAGCTCTGCATGAATTAAAGCTCAGTGAGGACAGGGATGGGACTCCACCCTGGGGTCCAGGCACCTTGGCTGTTCATGAGTGATTCCTCTGTGGGATATCCTGCTCATGCTGCTCAGGCTGGCGGAAGGAGAGTGGAGGATGAGTGCAAGAGAGGTGGAAAAAGCTGCGGGTAATCGATCTGAAAGGTCTGAGATTCCTCGGATAACACAGGCAAAAGGCTCCGAACACAGAGGTGCTGGAAGAGCAAGGCTGTGTGCTAGTGCTTCAGCATGACCTGGGAGGTGACATAGCCCAGATTCCAGGCAGATCCTTTGCCCAGGCCTGCTCACTCAGGCTCTGCACTGCAGCCTGCCTCCTGCCCTGCGTTTGCATCGCAGGCATTGAAGAAAACAAGCTTACAAAAATACCAGGAAGAATACATTGGAATGTACAGTGAGTTTAAGAGCTTTTGGAATTAGATCAGCTGTTGCTTTTGAACCTGCTCTGTGACATGATGAAATCTCCTAGGGAATTACTTAGGAAGCTTTGCTTTCATATGTTTAATCTTCTGGAAAACCCTGATGATTACAAACAACAGTCATCCATTTGTCTTCATAATACCATGTTACAGACTATCATAACTGAGTTACTACAATTGCATGTCCTGGCAACACTTCAAATATGTATTTTTTAAGTACTTTTTCTTGTAGATCATTCTTGCTAAACAATTCTGAGTGGATGAAGTAATTGTGTGATGCTTCATTAAGAAAGGAACCCAGCTCTTCAGTAAAATTCTCATCAGATCTTTTCTTGCTGAAATTTAGCTGAAACGTATTTTAGCAGACAAGTCAGAGGTGAAATAAAAGTGTTCTCATTTTAATTTCATCCACAAGCAGAGCACACAGTTTTCATTGCATTAAACAAAGAGAAGGGTATCTGATACCACGGGGCATTTAAAGTGTTTAGATTATACTTATTTGTGAGAATATGCAAAAGCAGACTTAGGAACCAAGCCAAAAACTGAAAAGTTCAGGCAAGAATTTCAGAAGTTACAATTTTAGCTGTTGAGCCTAACTTTGTCATCCCAAATACACCACCCAGTGATATGACTGGCAGGCCAAGAGCTTCTTCATGAGACACAGTTTTCTTTTGAAAGACATCCCACCCTGAGGTGAGGTAATACAGAATCTATCATGGTCTCAAGTGATCGAGGTGTCTGACTACTCCTTATGCCTGTCACTTCTGTGCAGGATGATGTCTCCATGCACATTATCCCTGTGTCAGCTGTCTGCACTGCTCAAAATGTGCAGCTTTCAACAGAGTTTGGATTCATCTGAACATTTCTGGCCATTCAATGTATTTTCATCAAGTTCCACAATAAGTGAAAACTCTAAACCCCATTTTATGCCCTCCACTAGGATTTCAGTGGATTCCAGCCCATCTTGTGCTGCTTTGCTTCCCTATGCAGGGTCACCATAAAAGCCATTGAGCTGTTCCATAGGCTGCTTGATTTGTGGGACTAAGATCTCAGATGACTTTGCACTGAGGTAATTCCACTTGCTTCACATCTGTCCCACTTGAGAAGAGGCATCCACTTGTCTAGTGGCAGGACAAAGAATTCCAGATATCTTCCTCCTCAGAGACATGGCACAGCATTACAGACGTTGCTCAGAGCAGAGGCCTCAGCTGCACAGGAGCAGCCTGAGCAGGCAACTTTGTTCTTGCTCTTCTTCAACTAACTTAGGTTGCTTTGAAGTATCTGTTGTACTTAAAAGACGTGCAAAGAAGCATTTATACACCCTCCCTGCAAAGAGAAAGGCTTCCAGTGTTGTAAATACACCTTTGCATTTAATTGCCTGTTTCAGTCCAGGTTTGAATGCTTCTGATCTAAATCTAAGCACTGGAAATTCTCTCACCTTGGCCACTATGTGTTCACCCCTAGGCTTTTATGAAAAGAGCTCACAGCTCCATTGATGTATCATTTATTAATATGAACCTACTGGGTTGTCGCTGGTGCTTTTTTATAAAGGTTACTCTATGATATTTATTAGTTAAGTAGTAGACAAAGTTCCATTTCCTGCAGATCCAAATTATCCTCAACTCTCAGCTCCGTGTTTTCTGACTTCTAGACACGCAATACTGTAAACCAAAAGCAAATGGCAATGTAGGAGAGTTTACAGTCTCCATCTAGTTTTACATTATTTCTTTTTTTGTTGGCTTCTGCAAAGCTGTGGACTAAACCCAAACCACTGAATAGCCCAATAACATTACATTACAAATTACAATTTCATTTGTAATGTGCCCTCTTATTTAAATGCTGCAGTCTCTGGGCATTTTATACAGAATTATGTTGCTTTGCCTGCAGCAATTTCCTCCTTCATCTCTCCATATAGATGGAGGGAATATAGAAGAAAAAGATTAGAATGAAATTTATATTCCTAAATTGGTCTTAACCTTGGAAGAAGGAAAAAGCAAAGCAGGAATTTTCATGTAGCATTTGGTTTACATTACTGCAATACACTGCAAAATGTTCACAGTAAAATACAGTTATCTGAGGAGATACGGATAGAAATACAATTGAATATTTTTAAAGGGGAAGAAAATAAAGGTCAGTTGCTTCAAAGAAGTAGTCAAGGGTTTGGATGAGTCTGTTAAAGCTAAGCTGCACAGTGCATTGGAGAATATGCCATGAAAAACAAGTTTGCACTGGAAAGACAATGGATTTGATGATCTACTAAGTCCCTTACATCTGAATTGTGTGATTTCACCCCAGTAGAACCTCGTTCTCTTTGTACTCGCTGTTCTGCAGAGCAGTAATTGCTGCTAACAACGTGTCTCCTTTCTGGGCTTTTCAGTGTGAGAATTGTGGTGCAAATTTATTCAGCGTTTAAAAATACGCCGAGCACTCCCACAGATGGGGTTTTGACAAGAGCAAATTTAGGTGTTCTTTCAATGTTCAAACTTAGGACTCACTAGGGAGACACAGACACCTCCTATTCTGCACCAGAGGTAAGTGGGAAATATGTTGCTCTGAGAACACCTCAGGGGATGCTCAGCAGCTTCCAGCGACAGTTCTTGGCGAGTCATGTTTTCCCCACTGGAGAAGGGTGTCCCTGGAAACATTTTACCCTTCAGTCTGGATGGGGATCCAAATAAACAGATCCTGGAAAACTGAGATGCACTTCACGGTTACATTTTTCTTTTTGTCTCTCTTTCATATCACAGTAAATACCTGAAATTCCTTTTTTTAAATCTTTCTGCTGCTTCTCTCAGAGCCACATTAAAGAGGACAGACAGTGCAAAAGGCAATGCCAAACAAACCCCAAAGAGTGTGACGTGCCCTTGGCTTTCAAATGGCAGGGGTGAACAGGTGGCAGTGCATTGTTGTCCTGCCTGTCCCCGACTGCCATCTCTTGCCATCCTCTCCCAGCTCACAGGTGCACAGCACAGACCTTGTGAGCTTCAGTTACCACGGGAAGACACTCCCTTGGCTATAGGCATGAGAGAAGGAAAGACGATAGGTCAAATTAATCAAAGTGAAAAAGAATACGAGGGATAAGAAATTAACAATATTTTTTTGGAACACTGGGCCAGTATTTGAATTTATAAAATTCTTCTATTGAAAGAGCTAGTGCAGAGACCCTGGCAGGCACAGCAGGCCTCAGCTTTGACACAAAGTGAACAAATGAGTTAAAGACCTCTTCCTTGGATTCCAGATTAGTAGGGAGCAAAGGTAACTGTGAAAGCTCTGAGGCCAATACAGGTGAATGGAAGTTGTGATGAGGAAAAACATCCAAGCAAAACCTCATGCATTTAATGTGATACAGAGAAAGATGAGGGTTGATCTAGTTGTCTTCTCAAAGCTCTTCCTTAGGTAACACTGCTGATGCTGTGGCATGAGTGACTGCCAGGGCATCAGCTGTTCAATTCTTAGAAGCTTAAGACAGATGTGAAGGAATTACAACACCCTAAAATGTTGACTGATGGTTTAAATCTCTTCTTGGTGTTTTGAGACCACTTGCAGAATTCACATCTATTCAGAGTGTTAAGAGTTTCTAGTGCTGGTTCAAGCTATTCTTTGCCTAGGAGCAAAACATTCTTACCTAGTCTCAGTTAGCTGCAAGTAAGGAACTCGTTTGCTTGTCGCGTGTCACTAAGTTAACGAAACGTAATCGAAGGGTTGCATTTGAGCATGTTTCTAAATGTTGCCTTTTGGAAGGAATATAGTAGACAGTGACTGAAATTTAGTATTGTGGTTCAAGAAACAAAGGTTCTTTATGAGACACTAATTAAAATTCAAGAGCTGAGTTTGGTTTGCTTGTTTTTTTCCATTTTAGAAAGTTCTAAATTGCAGAATGCTGGTCGCAAGCAATCGGTTTCCAGAAGCCTGAAGCACCTTTTCCATTCATCAAACAAGTTTGTGAAGACTCTGAAACGGTTTGTCATTCATTTTATCTCCCAGACATTCTGAATTTCAGCAATAGTTCTTCTTCTGTAATAGTGAAAAGCACCTTGGAAATTTGTGTGAAGATGCCATTGATCAGCATGAACCTGATAAAACCACATAGGTGTGAGACTGATGCAGCTG